AAAACTGTGTCAATGTAAGGAAAACTGTGTGTACACATGTCTCCATCAATGTAAGGAAAACAGTGTGTTAATGTAAAGAAAACTATTTTCTGTGGGTGTGTTCATTAATATAAGGAAAATTGTGTCAGTGGAAGGAAAACTTTTGTGTGTCTGTGTGTGTGTCTCCATCAATGTAAGGAAAACTTAGTGAGTGTGTGTGTGTGTGTGTGTCTCCATCAATGTAAGGAAAACTTAGTGTGTGTGTGTGTGTGTGTGTGTGTGTGTGTGTCCATCAATGTAGGGAAAACTGTGTCAGCGGAAGGAAATCTGTTGTATGTGCGTGTGTCTCCATCAATGTACGGAAAACTCTGTGTGTGTGTGCGTGTATTATTTTTACAGGGCACCAAACAGAGCTCCTTCACAGAACAGACAGACTGGCAGACTTTGTTCAAAGCAGTGTGTAAGATGGGCTTGGCCCAGCTTGTCCTGAAAGAACCGCCCTGCCCCGGGCCCGATGGGTGCGCGGCACCTTAGCTACTAGGTGAAACTTTCTTCCCTACCAGCTTTTGTTTGTTTGCTTGTTTGTTGTGTTTTTTTGTGGCTTTGCTTCTCCTGGGGCCCAGCCCAGAGGGTGGCTTCCCCCAGCCCTGGGCAGGCAGGGCAGGGGGGAGGGAGGGAGAGAGAAGCCAGAGCGCCACTTGTGCCCCCCGCCCCGCCCCCTCACAACCTGAAGGAGGCTTCGGAGAAGGGGTGATGCATCTTGAAGCTGGACAAGAAGCACTGCAGGGGCGGGGGCAGGGGGTTGAGGCCCGACGGGGGGAGGCTGCTGCTGCTGCTGCTGCTGGTGGGGAAAAAGAAATCATCTCCTCTGACCTCTAGCGAAGTGCCCGGTTTTTTCTTGAGCTCCTCGCATTTCCTAAACTTGCAGATCTGGTGTCCCGTTTTGCGGTTCCTGCAACTGCTGCACACGCCGCAGTTGATGAGCCTCTTGCAGGGCACGCACACCCCGCACCTTTTCCTCTTCTTCTTGGCCGGGTTGCCCGCCCCGCCGCCGCCGCCGCCCCCCGCGCC